AATTGGTGCCAAGTATATAATATCAGACTGTTTGGCCCGCTGCGGGCGTAATTTAACTCCAAAAAAGTTTAAACTTGCGGTTTTTAAAATCTCATTCTGTGACGTTTCGAATGGTATGGGTCTTGTCAATTCACTCCGACATCACTAATTCACTTTTTTTTTAATTGGTGCCAAGTATAATATCAGACTGTTTGGCCCGCTGCGGGCGTAATTTAACTCCAAAAAAGGTGAAACTTGCGGTTTTTAAAATCTCATTCTGTGACGTTTCGAATGGTATGGGTCTTGTCAATTCACTCCGACATCACTAATTCACTTTTTTTTTTAATTGGTGCCAAGTATAATATCAGACTGTTTGGCCCGCTGCGGGCGTAATTTAACTCCAAAAAAGTTTAAACTTGCGGTTTTTAAAATCTCATTCTGTGACGTTTCGAATGGTATGGGTCTTGTCAATTCACTCCGACATCACTAATTCACTTTTTTTTTTAATTGGTGCCAAGTATAATATCAGACTGTTTGGCCCGCTGCGGGCGTAATTTAACTCCAAAAAAGGTGAAACTTGCGGTTTTTAAAATCTCATTCTGTGACGTTTCGAATGGTATGGGTCTTGTCAATTCACTCCGACATCACTAATTCACTTTTCTTTTTTAATTGGTGCCAAGTATATAATATCAGACTGTTTGGCCCGCTGCGGGCGTAATTTAACTCCAAAAAAGTTTAAACTTGCGGTTTTTAAAATCTCATTCTGTGACGTTTCGAATGGTATGGGTCTTGTCAATTCACTCCGACATCACTAATTCACTTTTTTTTTAATTGGTGCCAAGTATAATATCAGACTGTTTGGCCCGCTGCGGGCGTAATTTAACTCAAAAAAGGTGAAACTTGCGGTTTTTAAAATCTCATTCTGTGACGTTTCGAATGGTATGGGTCTTGTCAATTCACTCCGACATCACTAATTCACTTTTCTTTTTTAATTGGTGCCAAGTATAATATCAGACTGTTTGGCCCGCTGCGGGCGTAATTTAACTCCAAAAAAGTTTAAACTTGCGGTTTTTAAAATCTCATTCTGTGACGTTTCGAATGGTATGGGTCTTGTCAATTCACTCCGACATCACTAATTCACTTTTTTTTTAAATTGGTGCCAAGTATAATATCAGACTGTTTGGCCCGCTGCGGGCGTAATTTAACTCCAAAAAAGGTGAAACTTGCGGTTTTTAAAATCTCATTCTGTGACGTTTCGAATGGTGTGGGTCTTATCAATTCACTCCGACATCACTAATTTACTTTTTTTTAATTGGTGCCAAGTATAATATCAGACTGTTTGGCCCGCTGCGGGCGTAATTTAACTCCAAAAAAGGTGAAACTTGCGGTTTTTAAAATCTCATTCTGTGACGTTTCGAATGGTATGGGTCTTGTCAATTCACTCCGACATCACTAATTCACTTTTTTTTAAATTGGTGCCAAGTATAATATCAGACTGTTTGGCCCGCTGCGGGCGCAATTTAACTCCAAAAAAGGTGAAACTTGCGGTTTTTAAAATCTCATTCTGTGACGTTTCGAATGGTGTGGGTCTTATCAATTCACTCCGACATCACTAATTCACTTTTTTTTAAATTGGTGCCAAGTATAATATCAGACTGTTTGGCCCGCTGCGGGCGTAATTTAACTCCAAAAAAGGTGAAACTTGCGGTTTTTAAAATCTCATTCTGTGACGTTTCGAATGGTGTGGGTCTTATCAATTCACTCCGACATCACTAATTCACTTTTTTTTAAATTGGTGCCAAGTATAATATCAGACTGTTTGGCCCGCTGCGGGCGTAATTTAACTCCAAAAAAGGTGAAACTTGCGGTTTTTAAAATCTCATTCTGTGACGTTTCGAATGGTATGGGTCTTGTCAATTCACTCCGACATCACTAATTCACTTTTTTTTAAATTGGTGCCAAGTATAATATCAGACTGTTTGGCCCGCTGCGGGCGTAATTTAACTCCAAAAAAGGTGAAACTTGCGGTTTTTAAAATCTCATTCTGTGACGTTTCGAATGGTGTGGGTCTTATCAATTCACTCCGACATCACTAATTCACTTTTTTTTAAATTGGTGCCAAGTATAATATCAGACTGTTTGGCCCGCTGCGGGCGTAATTTAACTCCAAAAAAGGTGAAACTTGCGGTTTTTAAAATCTCATTCTGTGACGTTTCGAATGGTGTGGGTCTTATCAATTCACTCCGACATCACTAATTCACTTTTTTTAAATTGGTGCCAAGTATAATATCAGACTGTTTGGCCCGCTGCGGGCGTAATTTAACTCCAAAAAAGGTGAAACTTGCGGTTTTTAAAATCTCATTCTGTGACGTTTCGAATGGTGTGGGTCTTGTCAATTCACTCCGACATCACTAATTCACTTTTTTTTTAAATTGGTGCCAAGTATAATATCAGACTGTTTGGCCCGCTGCGGGCGTAATTTAACTCCAAAAAAGGTGAAACTTGCGGTTTTTAAAATCTCATTCTGTGACGTTTCGAATGGTATGGGTCTTGTCAATTCACTCCGACATCACTAATTCACTTTTTTTTTTAATTGGTGCCAAGTATAATATCAGACTGTTTGGCCCGCTGCGGGCGCAATTTAACTCCAAAAAAGGTGAAACTTGCGGTTTTTAAAATCTCATTCTGTGACGTTTCGAATGGTGTGGGTCTTATCAATTCACTCCGACATCACTAATTCACTTTTTTTTTAAATTGGTGCCAAGTATAATATCAGACTGTTTGGCCCGCTGCGGGCGCAATTTAACTCCAAAAAAGGTGAAACTTGCGGTTTTTAAAATCTCATTCTGTGACGTTTCGAATGGTGTGGGTCTTATCAATTCACTCCGACATCACTAATTCACTTTTTTTTAAATTGGTGCCAAGTATAATATCAGACTGTTTGGCCCGCTGCGGGCGTAATTTAACTCCAAAAAAGGTGAAACTTGCGGTTTTTAAAATCTCATTCTGTGACGTTTCGAATGGTGTGGGTCTTGTCAATTCACTCCGACATCACTAATTCACTTTTTTTTTTAAATTGGTGCCAAGTATAATATCAGACTGTTTGGCCCGCTGCGGGCGTAATTTAACTCCAAAAAAGGTGAAACTTGCGGTTTTTAAAATCTCATTCTGTGACGTTTCGAATGGTGTGGGTCTTATCAATTCACTCCGACATCACTAATTCACTTTTTTTTAAATTGGTGCCAAGTATAATATCAGACTGTTTGGCCCGCTGCGGGCGTAATTTAACTCCAAAAAAGGTGAAACTTGCGGTTTTTAAAATCTCATTCTGTGACGTTTCGAATGGTGTGGGTCTTATCAATTCACTCCGACATCACTAATTCACTTTTTTTTTAAATTGGTGCCAAGTATAATATCAGACTGTTTGGCCCGCTGCGGGCGTAATTTAACTCCAAAAAGGTGAAACTTGCGGTTTTTAAAATCTCATTCTGTGACGTTTCGAATGGTGTGGGTCTTATCAATTCACTCCGACATCACTAATTCACTTTTTTTTTTAAATTGGTGCCAAGTATAATATCAGACTGTTTGGCCCGCTGCGGGCGTAATTTAACTCCAAAAAAGGTGAAACTTGCGGTTTTTAAAATC